TAATGCATAGAAATACATAGCAGGTGTTAAAAAAACTGGTCTTAAAGCTTTGTGGCAACTGAGAATAATGCCAGGAGCCCTGGTGGTGTGGTTGGTTTCATGTTGTATTGTTAATTAAAATGTCAGTGGTTCAAGTCCACTAGCTGCTCCGCAGGAGAGAAATGGAACATCTCTTCCTGTAAAGATTTACAGCCTTATGGAGGGTATGCCTGATACTATTAGTCAACATCAACCTGCTGGCGGTGGAGCGGGCTAGAATAACCCCAATAACAAAGCAAAAGACATATCAGCTTCATGAGAGAAACACAATGTGAAGAGGATAATAAAGCCAACAGACAAGCCCAGCATCTAACAATGTCTCTGTTGTGACTCCCATAACAAGCCTGTTATTGTCAAGTGCATTGTCAGTCACAGTGACCCCATGGGACACAGCAAAATTACTCCCCCCAGGTTTCCCAGGCTCTATTCCTTACAGAACAGTTCTGCCTTGGGGCAGAATGCATCATCTTTCCTGGTGGGTTTGAACCACCAAGCTTTCAGTTAGGCGTGGAAATCTAACCACACGTTTGGCCTCGAGTTCCTTCTTGGCCGAGTTCCTCGGTAGCACTAATGGTTGCGCTCCTTTCCTCGTGGAGAGGTTAGTGGTTAGCACCCGCTTGGAGACACCTGTCAGTTATACGACGGTGTGTGACTGTGACGCTGGAAGCTATGGAACTGGTGTTTCAAATCCCAGCAGGGTCACCCAAGATGGAGGGATTTTTAGCACAGTTCCCAGACTGGAAGCCGACTTGGCTGTCACTGTTGAAATAATGCACCTATGAATGGCAGTGGAACAGTAGCTAATATAGTGCTGGAAGGTGATTCCCTTAGGGTGAGAAGAATATATAACCGAGGAAGAGTTGCCCCCTTCACATAGAGTTTACATTAATGGTGAAGATGGTACAGCAGAGCGTGGTTCAGATCTGTTGTTCATAGGATAACTCTGCATTTTAGTCAGCTTGGTGACACTGAACAACATCACCTTAAAGATGTGGATGAGTAAATGAGTAATGTTTTTCAGCAAATGAAGGATATTTGTTTGCTGAAGGGGCCTGTCTCAAAAAGAGAAAAACAGCTGCATTGACACAGTGATGGGAACCCTAGGTCACGCACAGCAGAGCATGAGGACGGTCCAAGATCAGGTGAGTTGCTCTGTTGAACAGAGGGTCCCTGTGATTCGGAGTCAACTTGATTGCATCTAGTAACAACAGAGGCACTTTGGAAGAAAGGCTGGACAGTGAATAGGGATGACAGAAGAAGGGTTGATGCCTTTGATGTTGGAGAAGCATACTGAACATCCTAGGGACAGCCAAAAGAACAAACCGATCTGTCTTGGAGAAGGTGCAGCCAGAGCGCTCCGTGGAGGCAAAGGGGATAAAACATCATCTCACGTACTTCAGGCATGTTGTCAGGAGGGGCTGGTCATTGGAGAGGGACATGATGGTCGGAAAGGCAGAGGGTTGGCTGCTGAGAGGAAGACCCTCAACCAGATGGATTGACATGCTGACTCCTGCAATGGGCTCTAATGTGTCAGAAGGTGTGAGGATGGCACAGGATAGGACAGGATTCAGAGGTGTTGTTCATAGGGTCTCTGTGGGTCATACTTGACTCAATGGCACATGGCGACAACAGCATTGTTTTAGGAGCTCTGGTGACATAGTCTGTAGGGAGTTGTGCTACTAACTCAACAGCAGCACTGCTCTGGTGATTTGCATCCACTAGAAGTTCTGTCAGAGGAAGGTGGACAGTCTCCTCCAATGCCATGTGCAGCCCCCTGAGCACCCACCAGGAGATCAGCTAGGAGCCTCTTCCAGCTCTCCAGCAATGGGTTTAAGTGTATTGGTTCACTTCACCTGAACTAACTGAGACATCCTTATCTAATCTTACGCTGTGATGGCCAGGCCCTGATAGACACAGTGCTCTCTATAAACCCTACGCGTGTGAAGCAGTGGTCAGTGCAGGTGACCAAGGGGCTCCTGTCCCACAGCAGATCTGTGGCACTGCAAGGTCTCCAGTCTCAGGTTGAGAAAGGGCACCATGTGGTGGTGGTGGTGGTGGTGTGTTTTGCCCCCAGATCAGTCTCATTCTGTTGGTGCTACCTGCTTTCTAGGGACAAGGTGACTCAAGTCCAACCTGGAGAATTTTCCAAGGGTTTCCCATGACTGTGTAAGGGGCACCCCACATGGTATTTTGAGAGCACAGGGTGGGGGCTTCTGGTAGAGGAATGCTCTTGACCTTCATCACACAGATGTTCACATCTTCTGGATGCTTCACTTCTAGAAGTGTCCTCATGTCCCTGTCAGGCTGTTGTGTGTACTATCAGATTGTTCTTACAAGGGGCACACAATTCTCTCTGTAGGACTGAACACACACATTCGGTTCCATGGTACAGACAGTGTCTGTCACAGAGGATGAAGGGAGAAAGGTGTTTTGAGGCAAGAAAGAGGCTTATGTTAAACAATGAAAGATGGTGAGGCTTGGACACGAGGGTGGAGAAGAAAGCACTGACATATTGGTGGGGTGGATAGGGAGATGTCAGAAAAAACAAGATTAGGATAGTAGAAAGAGCAGAAGGGATGTGTTAAGATGTAGAGGGATGTACAATGAAGTCAGGGCACCCTAGCAGGAGTGGCATCCAATTCCTAAACAACATGCCTCAGGAAACTCTATGCACTTTGATAAATGTCAATAGTTGTAGAGCGGCTTCAGGCCTTTTGTTCATAGGGTTACTATGAGTCATGCTCAACTAGATGGCAGTCAACAACAACTGTAGGAAATGACATGTGATGTGCTTGACAAGGTCAAAGGACTTGTCTTTGAATGGAACACAGCCAGAAATTCACAGATGGTAAGAAGAACGGGGTAGAGTGAGCTACGGGTATGAACACATGTGAACGTAGAGTGTGTGGAGCCAACTATGTTTGGAAATCAAATGCTCTTGCTGGGGGATTATAGATTACTTGGTCTAGTTCTTCAAACCTCCTAATCTTCTGCACCCTGAGTGTGGATAATCCAGGGTTTACATAAACATAATGCTTCAGAAGCCTTCACGAGGCCACAGTGTGATGCCCTGCCACAAGTAAAGCAGGACTGTATTCTAAAGGGGGGCCCCAAACTATCCTGCAGTGGGACTTACAACCCAGGATACCAGAGCCCGTATTTTAACAACCTGCTTTCTTTTTTTTTTCTCAACCTGCTTTCTTAACCTACCTCCTTTCTCATAATTGATAAAAGGAGCCCGTGGTTGCACAGTGCTTACGCATTCAGCTGTTAATGGAAAGGTCAATGGTTCCAACTTCCCTGCCACTCCACGGGAGAAAGATGTAACAGCCTACTTCTTGCAGAATTCTTCTGGGGACTCTCTCATGGCCTAGTGGGAAAGGCGGCTGTACTGCCAATTCAAAGTCATGTGGTTCGAATCCACCAGCTGCTCTGCAGTTTTCTCCCGTGTCATTTACAGCCTCTGAAAACCTGTTGGAGGGTCAGCTCTGAGTCAGTTCTGACTCAATGGCACAGGGTATATAATAATTATATTATTACAATTTCCTGGAAGAGTACGGCCATGGAAACCGAGGGTACAGTTCTAATTTGCCTATAGAGTCAATTGCTATGGTTGAAATAAACTCAGTGGTAATGGGTTATTTATGTGATAAATAGGATAAATCTTAGCTTTAAAAGGCTGTACCTAAGAGGCTATTTGGACAAATAGCCCATTTGGTCTTTTCTCTTAGACATGTGGGGGATAATATTTCCAATGAGCCTATGGTTCCTTGAGGCTGAATGGTGAGCAGAGAGCGAGAGGAAGTGTGTGGATTTGGCAGGTTTAGAACAATGTGCATTTAATCCTAACACCCACCTGTGGAAAAGAGAGACAGCAGAAGGAAGAACATCTATCCCTCAGAAGGAGGGAGTGAAATGAACTCACAAAGCCTAGAGTCCGGTGGGATGACTCTACACACACCTCTTCTCTGATGGGGTCACCTCTGAGGGCCCATAGGGTCAGGGGACATTGGGTACTGACCATCTCAGAATTTGTCCCCACCTCCCTCAGAGCTTCTACCATCTTCCATCCTTTGAGTGGCCCCACCAGCCCTCTGCCTGGTCCAGGCACTTCTTGTTCTTTTTCTCGGCTGAGAGAATGGCAGGGTGCCCAGCTGGGCAGCGATGCCAGCCCCAGTTACTCTCTCTGTGTTACTCTCGTGTGTGTGTGTGTGTGTGTGTGTGTGTGTGTG